AAGGGAATGCGGCATAGATAAGATGCCATCTGTCGAATGTTGTCGGTTCCACAAGCACCCATGGCATGTACGTACATGCCACCGGTCGCTTTCAGGTTAATGAGTACATTCATCAGTGAGTGAGTGAATGCGTGAATATGAAATTTGGGACAGAGGAAGAGAGGAAGGGAGAAAATGGACAAGTACATCCAGAATGAATCTGTATGCTTTCAGTTTAAGCAAATGTGTGAATGTCATTATACACATATCAGTATTCAAGCCAATGCTTCTAGAAGCATGCAGCGCATTTATGCATATCAAGAGTAAAATAAGAACTTTACCTAATCAAGTATACATAATAATAAAAACAATGCAAAGATCTACAATACCTTTGTTTGTAATGCTATTTCCTATACAAAGACATGGCTTTTCTCTAATTTGATTTTTTCATAAAAAACAATACAACCAGTATTAAACTGCATAACATACTGCACAGTCCTTGCCATTGATTCTTGATAATACCCTTCTGTATCGTAACCCACTGCTAATGGATGACATCCATACATGCTAAGGAGAAGGCAGTCTCAAATATTAGGTAGCACCTAGAAATACCATGACAGTGGTATGCATATGTACCAATATAGCCATAAAACTCTTTGCTTATAAAATGAGTGTTCTACAAAATATATAGGCAAAGTGTTTAAGATGGCACCACAGTCTATTCAATCTGGATATATAGGAAGCCTAGCCTTCTTTCATTATTACCAAACACGTGTCATTGAACCACTTGTCATCTCCTGACATTTAATCTTCAACCCACTGGATCTGGTGACTTGTGGCATGCACATGGACCACAATCCTGGTATTAGGCTTACTTAAGTGGCGACTCTCCCAGGTGTGTGGCTTGTAGTCCCAGCCCACACTAACAACTGTGTGTGGTATCAAGAGTCCTTGCTTCCCTTCTACAATGCTGTAATCTCTTTTTCTGTACAAGCATTTTTTGCTTGTTTGGCTTTTCTAAGGTCTATACTTTTCATCTGATATACTGCATTAAGATGGTAATAGACTGTTTTCCTTGCAAGACTCCATATCATTTCTCTAGGTAGTCTACTACTCTTTGTAATAACAATAATATTAACCCATTAATGCCGTTATATTTTGAAGCCGAAAATAAAAGATTCCGGGTGGCTGCAAAATCGGTGCGGGGGCTGGCTCGGACTCTGCCCACCCGCCGGCTGCGGCCAGCTGCTGCGTTGGACTAGCTGGACGCCCGGCAATGTTTATTTTTTCGGGTGTCTCATAGGTGGGACACCCATCGTTAGTGGGTTAAATAACATTTTGTCATTTGTGTAATTTTTCAATATTTTCACTTTAAAACTACTATAACACACCTTGCACCACCCATCACAGCAGGCAGAAAAAGGATCCTGAGCATAGATGTACCCACTGTGCCTAATCTTCCACAAAGATCTTTGTGCACTCATGGCGAGTCATTCCCATCAGATTTTTTCCAATGGGTTAATCATCAGTCTTGGTACAGCCTACCAACTACGTGATTACACCCTAGAAAAAGGCAGGACCTTTAACATACCCAAAGTGAACAACCTACAGTTCTCAGACTCAAACCTCCAAAGCTGGTTTAAGCTCTTGCTTTTCAATGCTTTTACTGAATAATAGTAACTGGTTTGCCCAGAATCAAAGTCATAGGAGAGAAGCAGAAATTTACTTCTAAATTTTTACCTGTGTATGAGTTTAGATGATTATTACCTAGTGCCTTCAGGTTAAATGACAAGCCATTCAGTCAAACTTCTTACATATTTGTGTAATTCATATCCTCGTCACTACCCTTCACATGACTTCCTTGGTCCTCTGAGAATAATGTCAAATAGGTTTTCTTTACCCCTATGGATGGCATGACCTTCATGTCATGAAAAATTTGGCTTGAAGGGTGGCTGACGTGAACATGCTGTCATAGGAAAATCTGGCTGTGGGCTGGGTTGACGGGGGATTTGTCATCGTGAGAATTTTGGCTGAAGGCCAGGGTGACAGGAATGACTCCCGAAACAAGTGCACAAAGCTATTGGAGGGTGATTAGACTTATTTGTAATTTAGAAAGGAGCATTAGCATTATTTCCATTAATAAATGTAAAATGTACAATCCATGAATCATGACTGGTTCAGGGAGGACACTATTTCCATGCTCAGGATCCTATTCCAGCCTGCCATAGCTAGCAGCACTGGATGTATTACGGAAAATGGAGTATTACAAGCAAAAAAAAAAAAAATCAAAATATGACAAATAACAGAAGGTTACATAGTGTTATCATTATTGCACTAAATTATGGACTACCTGGCATCTATACAAGGAAAACAGTTTATTACCATCTGGATAAAGCAAACTGACTAATACAGACATTCGAAATCATTAAAACTGCTAAAATGCTTATACAGAAAAGGAGAAAATAACATTAGAAAGAGGAGGCGTGAAGTCTTGTCACTGCACATAGGTGTTCATGTGCACGTGGTCTACCAGTCACACACCCATCAGAGTGGCTCAAGTAAGCCTAATGCCTGTATTTTGTGCCACGAGCTGGAAGTGATGCGTCCAGATCCTCAAGATTAAAGGGTGCAAGATATCAAAAATGAAAAAAAAAAAAATGTGTAAATTACTTTCTAGTCTTATGATTATCTCTTTCAAACATTTTTTTTTCTTTTACTTTTACTTTTAACTAATCATGATATCATGATCTTCAGCAGTTTAATACAGTGTCCACTTATCCAATGAACAGTAGTAAAATATTGATTAAATCTTTTAATCAACACAAGAATATATTATGTCCTTGTAGCGTATGCATTTCAATCTAGAACTGGATAAAAAAAAAAAATCCAAACTACCTCATAAACCCTAATACAATTAGTTGACATTCATTCTCTATATAAAGATGAATATCTTCCTTGATGTTATGAATCTCTTACAGTACATTATATAATTACTAAAGTTCCGCCTGTCTATTCAAATTAGAGTTGAAGTCTGTGCTCTATTCAAATAATGCTAATCTTAAAAGGTAGAATAAAGGAACAATTATCATATACATTCAGGGATAGAATAAAAATGTTATGATACTTTTTTAGTTATGTATGTGAAAAGCATATGACAATTAATTGAAGATTTATGCTCATAAAGCCAGTGGATAGCTGATGCATCATTTTACAGGCAACAAAGTCAAATGCCAACATAACACATCAGCAGTTCAAATCAAGATCATAAGCTAATACATCAAGCATTTACATTCATGATTTGCAGTCTCAACAATGGAAATGAAAATGGTAAAGCTTCTAGTTACATTGTCTTGATTACTTTTCAAATTTTCTAGTCATTGATATTTCTTTTTTTTTCTTTCTTTCTTTTTTAAAGAGTAGCTTTGATATAAGATCATTATCATTTAAGCAGAACCAATAAAAATCTTTCCTTAACCCCTATGATCCAGATCACATGAAAAAAATTGGCTTGGGAATAGGGTAACATGAGCTTGCTGCTGTAAATATTTCAGATGAAAGCAGGGGTAATGGTAATGACTTGCCACATGTGCACAACCTCTTGGAAGGTGATTTGGTGCTTTGGAAGGAGCTTCTGTATTATTTCCATCATAAAGAAGTGTAGAATGTATGATCTGTGAGTCATGATTGGAAGAGTACCAGCTCTAGGAAAGATGTTATTTCTGTGTTCAGGATCCTATTCCTGGCAGCCAAGACTAGCAGTGCAGGTTGTATTACACAAAATTTAATATTACAAATGAAAAAATGTTACTTATTTTTTATATTAATGCACTGAGTTATAGACTACCATAACTTAACACTGCAATGGGGAGGCATAGAGTCTTGCTAGTGCATCCTGCCTAAAACCACACACCCATCAGAGTGGGCCACATCATGGCAGAAAGCATCTAGATCAAATGGGTTAATACTTGTAAAATAATATTCTCTGGAAACATGTTTTTTTTTTCTTTTTTTTTCTGTCTCTTCGTAAGAGACATATTTATCAAGATATTTATGCCAATATGCAACTGAAAAACTGCCAAAGCAAGGAGGGGCTGTTGTAATGTCTAACTTAGGGGTGTCAAACACCTATTTCAGTCTAACAGTCAGCCGGTTTAGATGATTAAGTCAGTCCTTTGACTTCTAAGACAATATTGAGTTTGAGTTTGACACCCTAGGTCTAACTTATTTTTCTTCAGCTTTCATTTTGATAATTATGTAACAAATTCTGTTGTTGGGATTTTCCTTTCCTTTTTTGACAATTCTAACCTTTTTCTTTCAGTGTATATTTACATGAGAATACTGTCCAGATATATATATATATTATAATATATATATTATATATATATAAATTATAATATAATATACATATATATATATATATATATTATAATATATATTATATAATTATATATATTGTATATACCATATATTATATATATTTATATATATATTTATATATATATATATATTATATATATATTTATATATATATATATATATTAATATCTATATATACTATATATGCCTATATATGCCAATCCTATATATATCTATTATATATCATATATATATCTATTAATCTATTTATCTATTTATATCTATAATATCTATATTTCTTTTCTTCTATATAATTTTCTTTTTTTTTCTTTTTCTTTTTCTTTTTCTTTCTTCTTCGTTATTCCTTTTTTTTTCCAAACATTATAACTTTGCTTTACCATTTCATTTTCAAATTCATTTGACAAAATTACCTCTTTTTCACTCAAGGAAACAGTATCTGAGCTTTTGAGTTTATGTATACTTAGGCAAAGAAAATAATATCTTACCTGGCATAATCTGTTTGTGAAGTTTAAAAGTACACATCTACACTGAATACCAAAGCTGAATTAGCTTTGTCCCACATCTGTATCATATATTCAGAAAAGGTAAATACCTGTAGAAGAAATCAAACTCCATCAGAAGTTCATAAAAAATACACAACTCACTGTGTGCTTCTTGGCGCATAGTATGCAGTGCATGTGCTGGAGGTGATGGGCAGGGCTGGAGATGCCCAGGGAGTTCAAGTAACCGAGCTATTTGGTGCAACTTTCTCTGACGTGCCTTTATTCTCCCTTTAGTCAATCTGTAAAGAGAGAGAGAATAAAAGAGAATATAATGAGTAACTAGAATGACACTCAGTATAAATAAACTTCAAAATATATTCATTTCTATGTAGTAACCTAACTTTTGAATTGTGAATGGTCTAAAAAAAACAAACTCAGTGACCTATATCTATCAGTCACCATAGTTATGGTACATCAAAGTATTTTTATGCAGCAAGAGCAGGTTTGCTGACTGCCAAAAATCTATTATTGGAAAACCTAATGCTTAAATAAATCTACATCTTCTGGGGTCTGCCATCAATCAAGCTCCTAAGCCTTTCTCTGGCAGACAGTTCAGAAGATATGAAGAAAATAATTTTAACTTTCCCCCTACTAAACACCTAAAAAATTATTACAAATGAAAAATATTTAAAATATCGAAAATAACCAAATAAATAAATCATCAAAGTAAAATATAACATAGAAATTAAGTTCTTTCATCAAGAAATGCTTATGTTTTTAAGATAAATTTATGTAAATCTAATAATAATTATCACATATCACAAGAAATATCACACTGTTCCTTTAAACAAAGCCGAGTTTCTTTAAAAATTCATTA